GTTTTTCCCCCCCCCTTTAAAAAAAAAAAAAAAAAAAAAAAAAAAAAAATCAATAAAAACATATTCTCAGGCGAGGATTAGAGAGAGAGGCGGTTCCTGGCCAGGCCGCCCGGGGCCTCTGGGGCTCTGAGGGCTGGGCCCGAGGCAGAAGCTCCACAGGCGGAGAGGAAGGAGGACTGTGCCAGCCGCGCTCCCAGGTGGTGTGGCCGCGGTTTGCAAACCCCCACAAGGTTCCAGGTCACTGAGGTCCCAGAGCTTTTGTGTCTGTGGGTGTTGTCTGTCACCACTTGCTGTGTTAGAAATTAAATAGAGTTTGAACATTTATTTTATCCATTTTAAATAACAAAAAATGCATTATATGTGCCTAAGATCATAAATATCAGACATTTCATGAAAAATAACTATACTTCCCAAAACAAACATACTTCCTGAGAAAAATGATACTGTTCTACAAACGACTGCATACTCATGGCCAATATTTGGAAATCTCTTTAATGTCTCGCCTAATAGAAGAACGCAGGGTTCTCGAACCTGCTTCCGCATCTAATTGCTTCTGAGGGAACATGTCTGTGTAGCCCTGCAGCGCGCCGGCGCACTGGAGAGCGCTGGGTGACGGTGAGTGGAGGCCTTATCTGTTCCTGCAGCACCAGGGGAGTTCCTCTGCACAGACACCATTTATAAGGCGGATGCCCCCCACCCGCCCCAAAACAAAACAAAACAAAGGTGTTACTATCAAAAACAGTCCAGTCCTTGCACTTAGAGCTGTTGTTATAAGCAGTGTTGAAAGATGTTCCTAATCTTTTTATTTTGTCCTTTTCAGTTTCTACTTTACAAAGAGATAAACTTGTGCCCCATCTTGTTACGGTTTGAGGGTGAGCATTGTGCCAAGTCTAACCAGTACAGGGCCCCAAAGTGTATGAAGTTAGGAAGGCCATCCCAGCCCCTTCAGCATCTCTCTCTTACTGGATATTCCTGACATTTTACTTTGCCAGTGAAGCTATGGACCTATCACTTGGGGACTGTGAGCTTTGCAATTGAAAAACCAAAGTCCAAAATTTACTACAGGTTCTCAATTACGCTGGAAATCGGAGAAACTGGAGCATTGTTTGCAAGGAGAATGGGAAGGAAGGAATTCAAACAGAATTAATTTGTGGAGGTCCCAGGTGCAGACGCTCAGGTTTGCTTTGTTCTGACCACAGGAAATGCTGTTTCCTGCTGAAATTTCCTAAATTGAATTCTTTATTTTTTCTCTCTAATGTTCACTTTTGATGTTTTTAAATACAATATTTAAGAGCTAAATAACTCAAAACAGGTCATAGGTTATGTAAGCAAGACCCAGCAGCAGAAATAAGAATTAGCAGTTTTTCTCTATACACCTCTCCCACCCACTAAATGTACTATCCTCAGCTTGGTGCTTCTTATCTTAAAATGTGTGTGTGTGTGTGTGTGTGTGTGTGTGTGTGTGTGTGTTTCTTAAGCAATACAAAGTATTGTTGTTAGTCTTTACACAACTCTACACTGGTAACTTGCTTTTTCTCACTCGGCATTCTATTTGGGAGACCAAGCATTTGGAGGAGTGTAGCTCTCATTCACTTGGAATGCTGTATCGCATTCCACTGCATAACTAGACCCCATTTATGTATCCATCGCCTTTGGACATTTAAGTTGTTTCAAATTTATATGTTGCTCTTAAAAGTAGTGCCGTGGTGCAGGTTTCTGTAATGTTCTGTGCGGGTTTTCAGAGTGAAATGGCAGGATCATTGGGCAGGTGCATCTTCAATTATATTAGAAAATCCCTGACTTTCTCCACATCTGTGTCCTTTGAAGGTTAGGGTTTCCCGCTTCACGTGCTTGCCAACATAGCTGGTAATGTCACACTGTTCCATGTTGCTAGTTAAGCCAGCCCAATGCTGTAAAAGCTGTCATCTGATTTTATTTTGCATTCCACGATTTACTACTCAGGTGGGACATCTTTGGCCACGTGAGTGTTCTCCATAAGAAATTCCTTCTCATATGTTTGCCCTTTTGCCCACTTGGTTTGTCTTCCTCTTATTAATTTGTAGAAAACTCACTGAGTTCTACCTCTGATGTCGCATGAGGGCACGTCCCAAGGGACATGCAGACGTGCATCCTGGCCTCTCCCTGAAGGAGCACAGGCCAGCAGTGCCTCTTCCTTACAAGACAGGTGACGAGGCCCACTTCTCAGAGGTGACATTTGGGAAACGTCCTTAGCAGGGTGTCTGAGGTTACAGATCCCCGATGAACCAGGCTTCTTTACCATCATCTTCTCACCAACTCCTCCTGTCGCAATCTTTCCAGTTGCAGATGTTTTTGCAAATATTCTTAGAAGCTTATGCTGTTAGTCACAGGGATGGGTCGTTGACGATGTTAGTCACAAGCAGGTGAGGGACTCTTCCCATTGGTTGATGTTTTTTATGAAGTGAAGCAGCTTCCTCTGCAGGTCATCACCTCCTCCCGAAGGCAGGCAGCAGCGTAAATCAGCACCCTGTGTGTTCAGGAGGCATTGCTCAGTTCAGGTTTGTTGACTTTTACCTTCAATCTATTTGATCCTCAAACCAGGATATGATACATATTCAGAAGAGTTGCAAGGCAGTTATTTATATTAGAGATTGTATACTCTGATGTATATTTTAAACATAGTTCCTTTTATTTGTTTTAACTAAACATCAGCGATTTCCCAGCTCTAAAGAGAGAGTTTATAGAGAGAATGAAGCAGAAGTATGTTTGCGTGTCATGCTCAGATCAGGCCGGGCCGGGAGGTCGGGGCTCCACGAAGCTCTCTACACCTTAAGGCTCTCCCTCCTCACATTTTTCCTGAGACACTTGAGAATACACAGCAGCAACTCTATAGCATCCTTTTGTTGCTGAAATGAATGAACTTCTAGAGATGTAAGAAGTACAGGGGTGACAGAAGAATAATGCTAAAAACATTTGGTTTCCTGAGGTTCTAGGCCTAATTTCTCCCTCAGCTTCCATTCATCAGTCCATCATTCACTCAAGTATTTGTATCATTCCTCCGACGCGCTGGGCACTCTGTGCCGGAAGCCACGCTGGGGAGGAGGCGGCCCCTCAGAGCTGGCAGTCTAGAGTTGAGCCTGTGAGTGGGAAATGGGAAGGTGTGGGGAGCGGGGGACACTGAGTAAGAAAACTTAAAGAGAAGATTTCAGGTTAGTGAGAAACATGAAAGATATGGAATCTGGTGAAGGGGTAGCGAGGGTGTTGGGAAGGCTTTCCTATGTAATTGACAGCATAGCTGAGGCCTGAGTGATGAGGAGCCACCAGGTGGAAAAGCGCACAGAGGAAGAGCTCTCCTCACAGAAGAAACAACAAATCTCGGAAGGAAGAAAATTTGGAAAAATTTAAAATAATAGAAATGAAGTCTGTAGAATACAGTGACTAAGCAGGAGTGTTGATGGATACAATCACTGAGGCAGGAGGAAGCCCAGGGCCTGTGGGCAATAAAAAGAAGATTGGACTTTATTCTAGGCAAAATTAAAAACTATTAGGCAATTTAGAGCATAAAAGAGATATAGTCTAATTTACCTTTTAAAATATCATGCTGATGATTAAAATCCCACTAAAATGGCGAGTTACAAAGACTGACAATACCAAGTGTAGAGAACATGGAACGACGGAAGCTGTCACGCAGCACCTAGGAAAAGGATTTGGTATTATCTACTCCAGCTAACTCAGCCAGTCCCTGAGGGATACACCAGATAGAAGTGCATACATACTAGTATATTCAACAAGAGGTACTTGCTAGAATGTTCATGGCAGGAGTATTCATAACATTAAAAAACTAGAATTTACCAAGTTGCCCTCCACAATAGAATAGATAGAATGACGTCAGTACCATCCTGGGGAAGTGAGAGGCCCCTTCTGTATCTCCCTTTCCAGCTACAACCAGTTGGGCATTTCTAACCCAGCAAAGGCCCCTCTGCTCAGGACATCGAGCCACCTGAAAGCTCCTCACATCAGTACCTTTAAGGTAGGTGTTTGGGCACACGTAGTGGGGGCAGGAGAGGCGGACGGACAAAGATGAAGCCTGTATCCCCAGTTCTTTTGGCTTAGCCTCAGCCCCAGCAAACGTGATAGCAAAGGAGCTGGTGTACAGCACCCACACCACAGCCGAGCAAAGGGTCAGCAGGCAGAGTAGTGTCAGCACACAAGAACCCAGTGCCCTTCTTTGATTGCAGTGGTGCTCACATCACCAGAGAGCCATAGACACCAGGGTAGTGGCATGGCAGGGTTGCAAACGCAGCTCCTACACACACACACACACCTGTCACATCCCCCTCTCATTATGCTGGTGGTGCCCCAAGTCCCAGACAACCCAGACACATCTGGGATTCCCATCACCTTGGTCACCCAAGCAGCCAGGGAACTCAGAGACACAAGTAAGAGAAAACTAAAAAGTTGCACTATAGCACCATCTACTGGGAAACAAATAAAAAGACCTTTATGAATCTGCTAAATCATTAAAAACAAAATGGTACCTAAATAAGAAAAGTGTTCACTACTTCAGATGCTTCGACACACTTTGAACAGAGAAGAGGACACAGTATTGCAGAAAAAATGCCAATTCTCCAGAAACAAAACTCAAAGCTATGGAAGATTGTGATATAAATGATAGAGAATTCAAAATAGCAGTAATAAAGAAACTCAACAGGATACAGGAAAACTGAGAACGGCAGCTCAGTGAGCTCAGGAATGAAATTAATGAAGACGAGCACTTTAACAGAGCTATTAAAACTCTAACGGAG